AATATTGTTTAATTAAAGTGCGTTTACTTAGGTAATAACAGAACTTATTTGAATAAAATATCTCTGTTCAAAAACAATTTTTTTTTTTGCTATTCTCTGCTAGCCGCAATGCTGGAGAAAGCATTACCTCGCATTGGAGAAAGCATCAGTGAGACACGCTGCAAGAGTCACTTCGTTTCTCGAGGCTCGTTCCTTAATCGAGAAGTAAACCAGCCAAACCTCCAATGGAACGCCATCGAACGAAAGACAATAACCCCAGAAATCTCCACTGACAATGGAGTAAAAATAAATCTGTCCGCAAGAGAAGAATATTTAACTATTTTTAAATTTTCGCGTCCAGTGCAACAGAGCTCGGCTCTAATAAATTGTATCTATAAATATAACGTATAAACAGAAAATATATTAAATAATTGTCGGACTTAAACCATTTCATTATATATTATTATTATTATTATTGAATAATACAGCCTAATTAATATTGTAAAATAGTTATTCAAAGAATAAATCAATAAAATTAATATAATTAATGGTGACTCACTTCACTGAGAGATTAAGAAGGCATTAACTTACTGACCACTCGCTGAACGACATGATCCTTGTTTTTATTAACTGTACAATGGATTAGATGTTCAGCCCATATAGCTTGCAAGTACTTTCGGTAAAAACAATTATCATCTTCAGGCACAGATTTTATTTTTTTTCTCAATTTCAGGGAATTTCGGGTAAAAATTCTATGACGAAAATGAATGTGATATTTGTCGAAAGATGTTTTATTAAAAAATATGTGCTATTAAGAATGTTTTTGAACATGCAAAAATGCAACGCTAGATTTTAAATCTTGTAGTAATGTAGTAATTCACAATTTCCATTATTGTAAGTGTTTTCCCGTTGACGTGACATGACAATTGGTCCAATAATTAGACTAATGCTTTAGAAGATTTCAGAATTTTTTTTCTACTGCGGATCGAAACTTTTTTTACTTATTAAATAATGCAGCTTAATTAATATTATAAAAGAGCCATTCAAAGAATAAATCAATGAAGTTAATAATAGACCGAACATCTAATCCATTGTACAATTAATAAAAACAAGGATCATGTCGTTCAGCGATAAGTCAGTGAGTTAATGTCTTCTACATCTGTTAGTGAAATGAATTTGCACATTAACTTTATTGATTTTTTCTTTGAATGACTATTTTACAATATATATATATATATATATATATATATATATATAATTACTGCCAAAAAAGGTGGAATTAGAACACTTAGGAGATGTTCATTTAGCTTATATTTTATTCATCATTGAATCCTTAAATAAGCTAATGACAAATAAGACGTAAAACCTTTTTTTACTTAAACCATTTCATTATATTATTATTATTATTATTATTATTATTATGAATAATACAGCTTAATTAATATTGTAAAATAGTTATTCAAAGAATAAATCAATAAAATTAATACAATTAATGGTGACTCACTTCGCTGAGAGAGTAAGAAGGCATTAATTTACTGACCACTCGCTGAACGACACGGTCCTTGTTTTAATAATGAACTGATGATTCTGACTTTATAAAATATGCCATAAACAAACTGACTTAAATTATTATATAAAATGAATCTATTAATGAACGGTGAGAAAAAATATGACATTTGTAATTTGAATTTCTAAAAGATTACCAATAAAAGCCTATATATATATATATATATATATATATATATATATATATATATATATATATATATATATATATATATATATATATATAAGGGTCTACAGTTAAAAAGATTTCTTGCAGAGCATACCGCATTGAAAGGAAACATTTCTGTAAAAAAATGAACTGTCAATTGAAACTGTGGAAAGGATTGTAAAACAGATTGAAGAAAGTAATCCACAGTGAAGCGTGGTGAAAGCCATTGGTTCTTCCCAGTCAGCTGTATCTGAAATCTGGTGCAAATATAAAAGAAATAGGATGGTTAAAAACATACTAGGAAACCACGAAAGACATCAAAGCGTAAGTATAGAAAACGTAAAACAATAATGCCTTGAAATTAGATAATGTACAACCAAACAAAATGAAAAAAAATGAATCAAAAAAGAAATCAATGTTTATGAGAGAATTTTAAGAAATCGGTTGAATGAAATGGGATGTATATATGGGAAATGTAAACGAGAACCGCTAACACAAAGAGAAGAAAGTGAGGTGAAAGTGGGTTAAAGAGAAACAACAATGGCGTGTGGGCAACAGGTTGAATGTTATATTCAATGATGAATGAAAACTCTGCATTGGGCAAGGAGACGATGCTGGAACCTTTGTCTAGTGCCATTTAAATGAAAATTATAAAGCTGATTGCGGTGGGATGTCAGATCGAAAAGACAGTTATCATTGCCTAAAAGCCATTAAATTCTCGCATAATGTTCTCATTTCACCAAGAGAAAATTGGTTTGGTGATAATGAAGTCATTTTTTTCAGGAGGATAATTCATTTCATCAAAATGAAAAAGAAATTAAAACGTTTCTTCGGCAGATGTGTAAAAAAAGTCATATGATGTTGTCAGCGAACAGTCTGGATCTAAGTCCAATTGTAAATTTATGGTGGAAATTTAAAATGTGGTTAATTAGAAAGATCCATGCACCAAAGAAGATCTATTAAATGCTACTCAGGAAACATAGAACCACCTTGATTCTTTAACCACATTACTTTAAATTAGTGACAACCGTGTCTGAATAAAAGAGATTTTCATACTATTTTCCCTTGAATGGCTTGAGAAAAATTGTAGCATTAATTCAAATAATTTAATCTCGTTTGCTTCATGTATATTCGATTAAACCAGAATGTTTAGCTGTTAAAAGTTTTGTGTCTCATACGTGATTATTTAATTTACTGCTAAATGAAAAAAAGTGAACATCCTCTAAGTGCGCTCATTTGATAATTTTGGATGGTGGTAGTATATATATATATATATATATATATATATATATATATATATATATATATATATATATTCAACACGAAAGATGGTTCAAGCGTGCTTCCTATATAAGCCGGTTAATGAAAGTTGAAGAATAAAACACAACTAAATCATAACAATATTGGGAATAACATTAATATTTATTATATATTAGAACGCCGTTTGACTAAATTGAAACAGGATGAGAAATATTTTTAAACATGTATATGTTACATTATTTACATTGTTCGGACTATCGTCTTCATCTTTGTTGCCTTATTTATCACAACATTTCGGCCGTTGTACGCTCCGGCCTTCTTCAGGTGGTTGGATAGTCGAACTGAACTCTTTATTTCGCTCGCTGGGGTAGACTGTTCTAGTCCCACGTGCCATGTCCAATGGATGTCAGTTATCAGTTATCTTCTGTTAATTTCCCATCTCCAAGTTCTCACACTCTTTGGGTCCTGTCACTGGATCTAACTAACGCTGTGTCGTGTTCTTGAGGACATCTGTGTATGAATTTCTGGGTATTATAAACCTAATATCTTCAGCAAAAATTTTTTACCACCTGAAGAAGGCCGGAGTGTACAACGGCCTAAACGTTATGATAAATATGGCAACAATTATGAGGACAATAGTCCGAATAATGTAAATCTCAGAAATATAGAGAGATATCTATATATTAGTAGGTCAAAAGGCCTACTGATATATAATAAATATCATTAATCTTATTACCAATATTGTTATCATTTTGTTGTTTTTTATTCCATTTTTATTTACAAAAACTTATTACAGAAAATGAGCCCTTAAAATAAAACGGAGTCTCTGCTCAAATACAAGTATCCACATTTGAAATGATAACAATATATATATTAAATACAGAGCATCTACTCGAATATGAGCATCCATAAAAATAACGTTTAATCAAAATAAATAAAAATAAATAAATGAATACACACACACACATATATATATATATATATATATATATATATATATATATATATATATATACGATCTATCTTTGATATTGAACACTTTATCCCATAAATATAGCACACTTTCAAACTATATATATATATATATATATATATATATGTGTGTGTGTGTGTGTGTGTATGTGTAACAATTGTAACGATAATAATTCTAATAAATTTTAGAGACTTGAAGCAAGAGAAATTTGGTTTTACAGAAGGATGCTAAGAATGCTAGGGACTGAGTGACAATGAAATTCTAGAAACAATGGCAATAAAATGTACGCTTATACTTAACCTCAGAAAGAGGCAGTGGAAATGTCTGGGGCACATATTGAAGAAAGTGGGTTGAAAAATTTGATACCCAAAGATAAGAAGGTGAGAAGACAACAGAGCACAACCTATCTATCGATCTTGACTAAATAGATCTCGGAGCAGGAAAAACAAAAAATTATTAAGAATTTCAAAACACAGGAAGTTGTGGAGAGCCATGATCACCATCTTCGCGAAGGGATACGGCGCATAGAAGAGAACAAAAGAGAAAGCACGTCATATGTTGATGCATGGGTACAAAGCTTGAGTCCCAAAATCAATAAAAAGGTAGATTGTTTTTTTACGTTTTATCAACCCTTTGTGGGTCATTTAAAGCAGTAACATATTTCGGATTGTAGGAGGTTGCTTGCAGTACTAGTGTTTCCAATCGGTCCCCCGTTTAAGTAATGATCGGGCTTGACGCGCTTAACTTGGGCGAATGAACTAGAAACGATGTTTCCAGTGTGATCTAACCGTAGGCCTAAGGAAAGAGAGCTGTGAATAAAAACATTTTGGATACGTAATACCATCAGCTGCTGTCGTTAATCGATGAGGAGGGTCCCGCTGAAACTGTTTCCAAGGAGGCTTTGCTTCTGGGAAAAATTGCTTTTGACTTTATTGAGGATTTCAATTGATTTTCGCTCAGAGGTGTGGTAAGTGGACCTAAGACATGCTGTGAAACAGGCATATGGGACTTCAATAAAATTACCCCGCTTATATATATATATATATATATATATATATATATATATATATATACAGAGAGAGAGAGAGAGAGAGAGAGAGAGAGAGAGAGAGAGAGAGAGAATCTGTGTGTTTGTGTTTGGGCAGCATTCCCTCTTTAATATATGTTTCATTAAGAATGATTGACAACATACTGAAGTTTATTTTTTGTACTTAATGTGCGTAGAAATTGTTCAAATGATTGTTTATTGCGTGTGTTTCGGCTAACCTGATAAGCTTCTTCAAGGATTTTGTTTGTGCAGATGTAGGCGGTGTCTGATTGTCTGTGCATTAGTTCAGAGAAGTACTCTTCTTCTTCTTCTTCTTCTTCTTCTTCTTCTCCTGGATATTATTAATTTTAGTGCATATCTTATTTCCATCATTTGATTTCACATGAACTGCTCTTAATGTTTTCAACTCGAACGCACGTTTGAAGAGATTCTACAAATGCTTATTGTTGTTTATTTCGGTGTTCACTTGAATATATCTTGCCAAGGTACTCTACCATCGATATTGTCCACCATCGATATTGTTCACTGCCCTTTGCATCTCAGTTGTGATTAAAATATAAAGATATTAGGTTTATAATACCCAGAAATTCATACACAGATGTCCTCAAGAACACGGCACAGCGGGTAAAGGCGTTAGTTAGATCCAGTGACAGGACCCAAAGAGTGTGAGAACTTGGAGATGGGGAATTAACAGAAACACCAGTTTCATCCTTTTCTATTTCTGTCAGATTTCCATTCGCAAAGTGATTTTGAACATTTCTCTTTTTGGATAATATTTTCCCTATATTCCATATATGTGAGCATTTGCCCTATATTCCACATATGTGGGCATTTCCCTATATTTCATATATATGAACAATTCCCTATATTTCACATATGTGGGCATTTCCCTATATTCCATATATGTGAGCATTTTCTAATAGCCTTGATCATCGGAATAGGCAAAGAAGATGTGGTCTCTCGTTACTTTCCACTCACCACGGTTTTCTATAGAGAAAAAACTATAGAAGACGTATAAAGAATTTTACTCACATTTAAATGTTAGATTAGAAGAAATATTCTACGGTGCAACTTCGGTTTTAAGGTAGGAAAAAACTTTGAAATTATGAAAAACTATGAAATGACCAGACCATCTCTCCACACTGTGATTGATATGTTTTCAAGACTTATCAACCTTTTCCTGGTTATTTAAAGCCAGAAAATATTTTTAGATTGTAAAAATTATTTTTAAGATAATAATGATTTGCTGATTCAAATTCTAATAATTAATCCATAGCTGGGGAGGAGAAGAAATGAATTCATACCTTTCTCAGAGGTATTTGCGTGATTATAACAAACCCAAGTGGAATTTGAACTCGGCTCACCGATTTCCAATTCAGAGCGGATTAAACCACCCATACACCAAAGTTTACATTACCTGTTGTTCCCAAGCGGCGTCTATGCTTCTATATAAAAGAATATTGCAAGGGCAAGCAACAATATGTTCAATTAAATGCATTTAATTTTTTTAATCTTTTATACATCTAAATTACTTTATGGGATAGTTTATGTTTCAAATAAGTGGATGTGAGTTAGACATGGAATTCTCAACATATCTGACGTAACCATAGTTCATTATCATTTACCGATCCTATTCTGTCTTTACCTAGGCAACTGTAAATTAACCAGTCAGCACCTAGTCGAAAATCAAAATCACTCATAAAAAATGACCTTATTTAGTACAGACGTGATCTAGTCTCTAAGCCAAGTATAAAAAGATTCCGATTTATCAGCAAGTCTTGTAGTGTTTAACGCTAAAAACTATAGCGAAACGCCGAGTGCAAATATTAAAAGTAAAATCTTAATTATCTCATTTATTCCAAAGGGAAGTTCGGGATTTAGGATATAGTTCTGAGAAACATTGGTCTAAGAAACATTCCTCAAAAGAATATAGTTCTGAGGAACATTGGTTTAAGGAATATTCGTCAAAAGAATATAGTTCTGAGGAACATTGGTCTAAGGAACATTCGTCAAAAGAATATAGATCTGAGGAACATTGGTATGAGAAACATTCGTCAAAAGAATATAGTTCTGAGGAACATTGGTCTAAGGAACATTCGTCAAAAGAATATAGTTCTGAGGAACATTGGTTTAAGGAATATTCGTCAAAAGAATATAGTTCTGAGGAACATTGGTCTAAGGAACATTGGTCAAAATATATAGATCTGAGGAATATTTGGTCTAAGGAACATTCGTCAAAAGAATATAGTTCTGAGGAACATTGGTTTAAGGAATATTCGTCAAAAGAATATAGTTCTGAGGAACATTGGTCTAAGGAACATTGGTCAAAATATATAGATCTGAGGAATATTTGGTCTAAGGAACATTCGTCAAAAGAATATAGTTCTGAGAAACATTGGTCTAAGAAACATTCGTCAAAAGAATATAGTTCTGAGGAAGATTGGTCCAAGAAACATTCGGCAAAAGAATATAGTTCTGAGGAACATTGGTCTAAGGAACATTCGTCAAAAGAATATAGTTCTGAGGAACATTGGTCTAAGGAACATTCGTCAAAAGAATATAGTTCTGGGAAACATTGGTCTAAGGAACATTCGTCAAAAGAATATAGTTCTGAGGAACATTGGTCTAAGGAACATTCGTCAAAAGAATATAATTCTAAGGAACATTGGTCTAAGGAACATTGATTAAAAGAATATAATTCTGAGGAACATTGGTCTAAGGAACATTCGTCAAAAGTATATAGTTCTGAGAAACATAGGTCTATGAAACATTCATCACAAGAATATAATTCTGACGACCATTGGTTTAAGGAACATTCGTCAAAAGAATATAGTTCTGAGAAACATTGGTCTAAGGAACATTCGTCAAAAGAATATACATCTGAGGAAAATTGGTATGAGAAACATTCGTCAAAAGAATATAGTTCTGAGGAACATTGGTTTAAGGAATATTCGTCAAAAGAATATAGTTCTGAGGAACATTGGTCTAAGGAACATTCGTCAAAAGAATATAGATCTGAGGAACATTGGTATGAGAAACATTCGTCAAAAGAATATAGTTCTGAGGAACATTGGTCTAAGGAACATTCGTCAAAAGAATATAGTTCTGAGGAACATTTGTCTATGAAACATTCGTCTAAGAAACCATCGGCAAAAGAATATAATTCTGGGGAACATTGGTCTAAGGAACATTCGTCAAAAGAATATAGTTCTGAGAAACATTGGTTTAAGGAATATTCGTCAAAAGAATATAGTTCTGAGGAACATTGGTCTAAGGAACATTCGTCAAAAGAATATAATTCTGAGGAACATTGGTCTAAGGAACACTCGTCAAAAGAATATAGTTCGGAGGAACATTGGTCTAAGGAACATTCGTCAAAAGAATATAGTTCTGAGGAACATTGGTCTAAGGAACATTCGTCAAAAGAATATAGTTCTGAGGAACATTGGTCTAAGGAAAATTTGTCAAAAGTATATTGTTCTGAGGAACATTGGTTCAAGGAACATTCGTCAAAAGAATATCGGTCTAAGGGAAACCTGTACATGGGCATTTGTCTAAGGACATTAGTCTATGGGATGCCTGTCTAATGACCATTGGTCTATTGAATAGCTGTCTAAGGACCATTGGTCAATAATAATATTTTTTAATAAATTAATACTTTATTTCATGTACAAAATACTCAATTTTATTGATATTCACTATATTATAGATTAATATTTAAGACATTTTATAGCAACATTAGTTACTGATGATACGTGTGGTTTATAAGATTTTATTTGCTTGCATTATTTGTATAGAAATACAACACGCATTAGACCATATTTCTCTAGACGAATATTTCTTATGCGTATATTCTTTAGATAAGTGTTCCTTAGACCAATATTCCTTAGACTAATATTCCTTAGACCAATATTCCTTGGACATATGTTCATATGGATGCCGGAAGTTCTAACTGAGGCAAAATGTCTGAACTTGTGGATAAGAGGACTCCAGTCTCCTTGCTAACTCCAGCTTTTGTCTTACCAAAAGAATGTATATTTGTCACTGATTTATTCTCTTTGACAATCCTCCTTTATATAGTTTTTGGATATTACAATATCAGTTCGATATCTACTCAGTTCCCTAGCAACGACTATATTTTTCATCTCTGGGTACACATTGGTAATTGTCATTAATCAGTGTTCCTAGCTCGCCAACATTTTCACTGCAACAAATCAGTTGTTGTTTCACTTCATGTTTTCTGCGCCAAAATGAAAGACACAAAAGTGACCAGACATATAAATAGAACAAGGTAATGTTCAGTTCACCTTTCACATCCCTAAATCCCTTAGTAAAGGAATGGCATCATAAAAAAGGGCTGTTCAGACGTTTACGAATCAACGGTACCCTACATTTGTACCACCGATAAGGAAACAATATTATATTTATACACAAGACGCACCCTCCACATCCTTAATGGATTCCAAAAGCAAAGATAGTAATGGCAATATTAGCCTTTTTCCTACAAGGAAACATTTGGCATTCATTGACTCAGCAGCCATTACTGCTTCCAGTTGAAATTTATAAAATCTTCCTCTGAAAATATTTTTTAAGGAAAATAGGTAGACCAGTAGTCTTAGGAAGGAAGGAAACCCATATCAATACTGGAACGATTTTTATTTGAAGTAGTTTAGAATGTCAGCATCTTAATTATGACCTTAGTTTCTCTTCAAGTTGCATGTGAGATGCATTTTACTTGTTTCAGTTGTTGATAATCCTCAAATGATGTGATTTCTGTTATTTAGTACAATTCTTTCTTTATGATTCTGTAATGCCAGTCCATAATATTAAAAAAGAGTGGTATTGGCTAAGACACTCAAACTTTACTCGTTCAAAGAAATTTTAACCATTGATCTTGTCAAGCCGTTGTATACAGCTGACAATTTATATATTTCTTATCGCGTCAGGCGTCGTGCATGACTTCCATACGAAAGTCTTTATTGGACGAGGCTTTTTAAGAACTCGAGTTTTCAGGTTGATGTTTTGGTTTTGTAGCAATTTGCAGTGTTGGGTGAAACTACATCTGGCACAGCCTATGGCAAAAAAAAAAAAGAATCGATGTAAAAGTGATGACTGCGAACTTGTTTAAAGTCAGATGTGGCTTGCACCACAGCGCATCGATCATTTCCATCATATCTATATTATCTAACGCAGCATTTCTCAACCTTTTTACCTTTAAAATAAATTACATGTCTCAAGGAACCCCTGCACAAAAACAAAATTATATACCACATCTTATTTTATTTTCATCGTAGGGACAGAAATAAGATGTCTGATGTATCTACGACCGCATTCTTCGAGTAACATAGTCACACGGGGTTTAAGGGTGTTATCTTCCTAGAGGTTTAAATTTGTTCTTGTCAAGCCACCGTAAAAACAAGTAGGCTTGCTGGAGAAGGCGATCCAGTCCTAAATAAACCAGACTGATAATACTGAATTACATGCCATTGTTCAAAAGAAAATATCTGAATAGTATTGTTCTGAATAGCTTGAAGCTCATTTGAATATATCGGTTATATATATATATATATATATATATATATATATATATATATATATATACACATTCATACCGGGTACGATGGATAAATTGTCGTCTAAATTACGCAAAAATGAAAATAATACTGACATCTCATTTTAACAGATATATTTACCAAAATTACACAAAAATATCTAGAAATATTAAAGAGTAAATTTATTCAATAAAATCCTATTGGCCTCCAGACGATTTCGAAATCTGCGTCTCTTCTGGAGAGTCTCCTTGTTTAAGTCGGTGAATGCTGCCATATTCCTTGCCTTCAGTTCATCTTTGCGTCTCAAGGGGGTTTTAGTCTGGGGAGTTAGGTGGGCCAGATATAAGATAACTGAAATTGTGGGCCAGATATAAGATAACTGAAATTGTCTGACAGCTATGATTGGGTTCTCTTGCTTGCCAGACATAGGGTCTTCCAACAGCCAACCTCTTGACCCAGGGTAGCACTACCTCCTCAAGGCCTCCGTGTTGAGTCTGAAGCCCTCACCAACCAACTCGGAAGTTCGTTTTTTATCAGTTGAGTGAGTTTTCCGATTTGCCGTACCTTCGGAAGCACCATTAGATTCATCTCTCACTTTCCGAATGATCTGCGCTGTCCTCAGATTGACACCTAAACACTCTGAAATGCTCATATTGGAGCTTCCAGCACGAATGCCAAGCAGTACAACATGCAGATTTCAAATTAATGGCGGGGTGAATTGCGTCATGGTGCTCTTTTTCTCACAGACGGTGCCTAAATAACCCTACTATAATGCGCAGTCGACAAAATAAAAAAAACGAAGAAAGCACATGCACGAAATTAAAAATATAAAATGGCGACAATTTACCCATCGCACTTGCACATGTATATGTAATAAAGGAAAACCAAAACGGTTGGTGGAGCCAACGGACATCTTTCCAAAAGACCTAAATAGCCTTAAACAAGATAAAAACTCGAACAAGGACAGTAATAAGAAAAAAGAAAAAGACCTAAACACAAACACTTACCTACTCAGTACAGTAAAGTACTCAATACCTAGACAGACCCAAAATTCTTGACAACGTTAATTTCTATGAAAGGATGGCCCTAGTCGTAATCCGAGTTTCACGCACACGCCAATCTTCAAACGACTTGAACGTGAAGTCATCTGAAGATTCGAGTGAGCGTGAAACTACGGTTACAACTAGGGTCATCATATTGATATATATATATATATATATATATATATATATATATATATATATAGAGAGAGAGAGAGAGAGAGGGATAGAGAAAAAAAAGAGAGATACTGTGGATATAGTAATCAATACTGTAAATCTGTTTCAAGCCTTATTGTAAGTTTCAGTGCATCCCATATATATATATATATATATATATATATAAAGAAAGAACAGTAAGATATATAATCCAGTGTTCTTATAGATATTTTTATTTTTACATAGTGCTCAATGTAAATTTACAGAGCATTATTATTATAAATAAATTGATTTAAAATATGGTTTTCCGATACACACACACACACACACACACACACACACACACACACATATATATATATATATATATATATATATATATATATATATATATATATATATATTTTTGTCCTTAAATTTTAATTATTATCTACCTTTATTTGCTAAGATTCCATTATAAAGTGGATGGATTATTTATTTAATATTGAATCGTTGTACCTCCTATTAAATTAATCTTACATAGACTCTGAATTTAATATGGTTATTTTTGTAAGGATTTTGTAAGGATGTCTGTTTGTAGGTGAGTATATTTGTTTCTGCTCTTGTTTTATCGTTTAATATTCGTAACTTTTGTTTTTCAATTACATAATAAATTGGAGATTAATTAGTTATCCTGATTTCCTATGTAATCTAATATTAATTTTAAACCATTAATAAATTGTATCTAGGCTCCGTAGTCGTGTTATGTGAATTATCATATACTTGTAATTTGATCTTACATAAGAATCTTCCACATAGTGGGGGTAGTGGTTGGTTTTGAAACCTTCAAAAATTTTAATATTTCAATCAACACTATCAGTTAACAAGACACTAGTAGTGTTGAAACAAAATGACTATTTTTGTAGTGATGTTATAACGTACTTATGTTATCATTTTTAAATAAATATATATAAGTGGACCCAGCGATCTTCAGGCCATTAGACTCCGTTTAAGAATGAAACAGACTGTCACCAATGGTTGTGTCCACTTTTATATTTACATAGGCTCTATTTTTGATATAGAGCACTTTACCAATAAATATAGCATAGTTTAAACCTATATTTTTAGCATATATCCTTGTGCAAATTAATTTGTAATTTGTAAATCTATTTTGTAATCTCTTTTAATCGGGGTCAATGTGTTTTAGATGCTTGGATTTATGTCTACATGTAGACATTAATTCGGAACTCGTGTTCAGCAGGTTAGTATATTTCATATTTAGTATAGTTTTGTATATTATGCTTTCAGTCATGCACTAGTAGTTTAATCGACCGGTTGCGTTTTTTACGGCAGTTGCATTGGCTTTTAGAGGTATTATTTTTTAGTTTTTGGTCTGGAAATTGCCTAATACATCATTGTTTTCTTAGGATATGTAATTATCAATGTTTTTGTACAGCTATAGCTAACATTAATGTTGTTTTTGTTGAAAATCCTTTTTAGTGCTGGAGAAATACCAAATTGTTAATTAAATTCACGAAAATTCTACCTACATTGGTTTTGACATTACAGTAGTATGGCGGGTTGAACCCTATTATGTCACGTTTGCGTTGTTTTTTTTTTATCTTTCTTCTTATTTCGATCTACATACATCAATTTTACATTCCGGTTGCTGTATTCTAACGCTTTGTTATATTTGGCTTTATTACCATCGAATATTTCTTTGTTACTAGAATTGGTCGATAACCTATACTGTACGAATTTATGCAAATTGTCAAGTATCCTTTTATGGTGGTTAGACCTTCTGTCGACGTACTTGT